TCACATAGCTGAAAGCACAAGATGGCAGATACCCTTATGCTTTTGCCTCTTAACAGTGTAATTTGGAGGTCATTCCTATCATATTTATGGGGTCACCTCATCGTTTTTTTGCGCACTGCATAGGCTTTTATTGTAATCGTGTTTAACTGGCTACTCCTAGTAGGCATTTGTGTTGTTTCTAGTCTTTCTGATAAATAGGGCTGCATTGAAAAGCCCTGCAGTAGGTACGTGGGGGATATTTCCTAGAAGTGCGATTGTTCGCTCAGTGCATATGTGTGTGTTAAATTTTCAGATCTGGCCAAATTGCTCTCCATAAAAGTTACCTCCGAGCGTCTGTGTCTCTGCTGTCTTTTCAACCTAGAATGTCATCCCAATCGTTACCATGTGCCAATATTTTGCTATTACAGGGTAAAAACTACTATCTCTGTGAAGAATTGCATTACTCTTTTAGGAACTTGAGTATCTTCTCATAGGTTGAAGAGTCATTTGAGGCCAGGTGCGGTGGCTCATGTCCTTTATCCCAGCACTTTGGGAGGCCGAGGTGGGCAGATCACCTGAGGTTAGGAGTTCAAGAGCAGTCTGGCCAACATGATGAAACCCGGTCTCTACTAAAAATGCAGAAATTAGCCAGGCGCGATGGCGGGCACCTGTAATCCCAGCTACTCGGGAGACTGAGGCAGGAGAATCTCTTCAAGCCGGGAGTCAGAGGTTGCAGTGAGCTGAGGTTGCATCATTGCACTCCAGCCTCGGCGAGAGCAGCATTTGAATTTCCCTTTGTATGAGCTGTCTTTTCATGTCCTTTACCCATTCTCTCTTCAATTATTTCTATTGTTTTTTTTTCTTCCTCTTTTGATGTTAGACTTTTTATCTTCTTGTTTTCCTTGTTTGCTGCAGTGTGTACCAACCAGCGCAGCTTCTTGGTTGTTAGTAGGTCTGTAAGCAAGCATTTGGTGCCAGCACAGAGAGGATGAGGGGAGGGCTGCACTCATCTGCTCTTCCAGATGGAAGTGATCAAAGGACGTGGTGATCATGGGAACACTCTGGAGAGCACGTAGCCACATTTAAATATATTGACAACACAACCATTTAGTAGACTCGGGCTGACTTTGAGCCACATGTCACGTGGCAGCTGTTAAAATCATCTCTACATGTACATGGATGGTTTTGATGACACAGCCTTGTTAGCTTTGTAGCTTTTAGCTAAAGGGCCATATGGTGAAGGTGCATTTTTTGCTGGTACATTTCTTATTTCTTCTCTTTTCTTTGTCAATATATCCATTCTAGAAAATGAGATGAACCAGGCACAGTGTGGTACATGCCTGTAATCCCAGCCGCTCTGAAGGCTGAGGCAGGAGGATCACTTGAGCCCAGGAATTTGAGGCCAGCATAGGCACTGGGCAACATAGTGAGACTCCATCTCTTAAAAAAAAAAAAAAAAAGGAGAAGAAGAAAAGAACAGAAAAAGAAAAAGTGGCCAGGCATGGTGGCTCAAGCCTGTAATCTCAGCACTTTGGAAGGCCGAGGCAGGTGGACCACCTGAGGTCAGGAGTTTGAGACCAGCCTGGTCAATATGGTGAAACCCCATCTCTACTAAAAATACAAAAATTAGCCGGGCATGGTGGTGTGTGCCTGTAGTCCCAGCTACTGGGAAGGCTGAGATAGGAGAATTGCTTGAAACCCGGGAGACAGAGGCTGCAGTGAGCTGAGATCGCGCCACTGCACTCCACCCTGGACGACAGAGCAAGACTCTGTCTAAAAAAAAAAAAAAAAGAAAAGAACAAAGAAAAAGAAAGAAGGACAAAAAAGAAAATGGGGCAAGATGCCTACTTTTTCTGTAAATTATCTTTGTAGTCCAAGTGTCCAGTAAAGTTCTCTGTTCCAAGCAGACACTTAAAATAAATGTTTGCTCAAAAAGGTCAATTCCTCTGCGTGCTGTTTTGTTGCCCTTCCAAAAGGCATGTGCGTCAGTGCAGCACTTCTTGACTCATGTTAACAGGTGTTCTGTGATTTTTTTAAAAGTGCCTGTGGTTATATTAATTTTAGAAAAGCTATTTTAAATATTAAAGCATTTTGAAACATTTAACTTATAAAATACAATCAGTTTATTTGCTACAGGGCTTCTCACAGCCTTTAATGTACCAGCAAATCCATTGAACTTCCAAGAGAGGGTTGCAAGGTGCTGTCTTCTGCAAGTGTGTTTGTCCACAGAACTCTGTTTTCATACTTTCATGGTATCTCATTGAAACACAGCTCAAGCAATTAGCCTAAACTCATAGATGAACCGAGTAGACATCAATTTCTTTGCCCCCTGATTTGTCTGATTTAGGCCAAACAGGGATCTTTAACTGGAAATAGGGTTATTGATTACTTGACTGCAGTCAGATTTCTAAAATTGAGTAAAAGCGTATTTGTGGTTCAATTGCAGACAAAGACATACTGGTTACTTTCTCCAGGCTCCCCACAGTATTGGCAGAAGCGTAAAATTAAGAGATCAAGGTCATTTCTGGTAACCCCTCACTGCTCCTACTCGAGGTCAGATGCCAGCCTCTCTGTCTGAATCATCCAAATCAAAATTGGCCAGGGATGAGGGTATAGTGCTGGGACCAGTCAGAGCCACCACCAGCTGATGGCTTAATTATGAAGCCAATTTACAGAGCCACAAGGGGGATGGACCAGAGGCAGGGTGGGAAAGCTGTTTATGTCCAGCTTCTTAACAGGGCAGTTTCTTCTTTCTGCTTGAGTATTTCTAAAATTGACTTTTAAGAAATCCCTTATTGGCCTTTTCTGTCTTCTTGAAGAATCTTGTCTGTTGTTCTTGTCAGCCTTCCTGAAATTTGGAACAGTGGTTCTGAACAGTGTTCTAGAACACTGGTGGCTGGGATGTGTCACAAGTCATCTGTGAGCTAAAGTAAACCGTGACAAGTGCATGCATTTGCAAATTACCACCAAATAGAATGGATTCAAGAGTACCTTATATAAGATCTTGTCTACCTACTTTGAGATCTCCTTTTTGAGTGGAATGCGCTGTTCTGACTGCATACATGATTACAGTGCTTATGAGTGGCTTTATATTTCCATTTTTATTTTCCCTTTTGATAAGATTGCACTTGAGCTACAAAGATACCAGGAACATTTTCATTTGTAATAACACAACTGTTATGATTACCCGATGAAAGGCAGCCAAAATGATGCGAGCAAAATGTTCAATAGTGATATTGTGGCTTTAAAAAAGCAATCAGGTTAACTATTTGCATTCCTCAATAGTCTACACTTGTTACTTTCTTTTTTTTTTTTTTTTCTTTTGAGACAGAGTCTCGCTCTGTCACCCAGGCTGGAGTGCAGCGGCACTATCTCGGCTCACTGCAACCTCTGCCTCCCAGGTTCAAGAGATTCTTCTGCCTCAGCCTTCCAAGTAGCTGGGATTATAGGCATACACCACCACACCCCACTAATTTTTTGTGTTTTTAGTAGAGGTGGGGTTTCACTGTGTTGGCCAGGCTGGTTTTGAATGCCTGACCCCAAGTGATCCACCCTCCTCGGCCTCCCAAAGTGCTAGGATTACAGGCGTGAGCCACCGTGCTTGGCCTACGCTTGTTACTCTTGCCATATTGTCTGTATTTCCTTTGGAGTAGGAGTCTAGAAAATACATCATTTTGCTGGGCACAGTGGCTCACGCCTGTAATCCCTGGCTCATGCCTGTAATCCCAGCACTTTGGGAGGCCAAGGCGGGCGGATCACCAGGTTAGAAGTTCGAGACCAGCCTGGCCAACATGGTGAAACCCCGTCTCCACTAAAAATACAAAAATTAGCCAGGTGTGGTGGCGGGCACCTGTAATCCCAGCTACTCAGGAGGCTGAGGCAGAAGAATCGCTTGAACCCGGGAGGCAGAGGTTGCGGTGAGCCGAGATCACACACTGCAGTCCAGTCTGGGTGACAGAGTGAGACTGTCTCAAAGGAAAAAAAAAAAAAAAAGATAATACATTATTTTAAAAGTGAAATATAATATTTTCAAACGTATATATTTTTATTATTATAGTTGTTAAGACTGATATTTTTGTAATTTTTTACTTTCAAGTGTCTTTGAATATATTCCTATCTCCACAAATAGTTGTGCCACATCCATCATTCATTTCTCCTCTCTGCCAATTTGGTGGGGATTCGTCAAAACCTAGTTCACTCCATTATGTGCGTCACTCAAGGGAGCTTCATCCAGCATGCATGTTCATGGAGAACTTGACGCCAAAGAGGTGCTTCCTCGTTTTCTTTCTTTTCTTTTTTTTTTGAAATGGAGTCTTGCTCTGTTGCCCAGGCTAGAGTACAGTGGTGCAATCTGAGCTCACTGCAACCTCCACCTCTCGGGTTCAAACAATTCTCCTGTCTCAGCCTCCTGAGGAGATGAGATTACAGGTGCCCACCACTGCACCCGGCTAATTTTTGTATTTTTAGTAGAGACAGGGTTTCATCATCTTGGCCAGGCTGGTCTTGAACTCCTGACCTCGTGATCCACCCGCCTTGGCCTCCCAAAGTGCTGGGATTACAGGCATGAGCCACTGTGCCCGGCCTGCTTCCTCATTTTCTTCCTGATTTATAGTATGCTTGCCTCAGCTTTCATAGCAGCGGCATGCTTATTCCTTCCTCTAGGCATCAAGGTATCAGCAGGATCGACTTCTTCTGAGAGCTACAAGGGAGAGGTCTGTTCTAGCCCTCTCTCCTTGGCTTGCAGATGGCCATTTTCTCCCTGTGACTTCACATTGTCTTCCGTCTATCTCTGTGTCCAAATTTCCCTTTTTGTAAAGGTATCAGTCCTGTTGAATTAGGGTCCTCTCTAATGACTTCACTTTCATTTGATTACATCTGCAGTGAGCAGTTTCCTCAAATAAGGTCACATTCTGAGGGATGGAGATTTAGGACTTCAACATTTGAATCTGGGGAAGACACAATTCAACTCATAACAACATGTTAATTTGCTACTTACGAACTTCTCTCCCTTTTTTTTAAAGAATGTACATGGCAAGTCAAAGCAAATGATCGCAAGTACCATGAACAACCTCACTTTATGAACACAAAGTTCTTTTGTATTAAGAAGAGTAAATATGCGGTGAGTTGTTAACTTTCTGAATTGTTTTTATTAAAATGCAGTTTTTTCCAGTAGCTGGCATGCTTACTACCTTCTTGCTACACCTGCCTTCTATGTAACCACCTGCCTGGGGCTATTGATAACCATTATTATTTCTATAGAATGTCATTTTTATTGATGATTATCTTTGGGGTGCGTAGAGGGTGACTTGAAACAAAACAGAATTATGTAGATTGAAATTGTCTCTCTTTTTTAAATTTTAAGCTAAAAATGTTTTATGAAAGAATATACAATGACGGCACAGAAGCCTCCTGTTTGAAAGTAATGGGTTTCAAAGGAATCTCTTAAGAACTTATCTTCCCCTTCTCTGCCTGGAATGGATTTAGAGATTTTAAACATATTTTCGACTCAGAAATACTTATTACCTTTGGAATGTGATAAAGAATGCTTAAAGATTAAACGTGAATTGCAAAAATTAGCCTGGCGCGGTGGCATGTGCCCATGGTCTCAGCTACTCGGGAGGCTGAGGCAGGAGAATCGCTTGAGCCCAGGAGGCAGAGATTTCAGTGAACTGAGATTGTGCCATGGCATTCCCGCCTAGGTGACAGGAGTGAGACCCTGTCTCAATAATAATAATAATAAATATTAAGTGTGGGCTTAAATGTTGTAAGATGTGTGTTTTAGTTCCAAGGGCTTCCATAACAGAGTACCACAACTGGATGGCTTAAACAACAGAAGTTCACTCTCTCCCGATGCAGGGATCAGAAGTCTGAAATCTCGGTGTTGGTAGGGTTGGCTACTTCTAGAGCCTCTGCAGGAGAATCTGTTCCCTGCCTCTCCCCTGGCTTCTGGTGGCCACTGGCAATCCTTGGAGTTCCTTGGCTTACAGATGAAGTCACCCCAATCTCTGCTTCACTCTTCCTGTGTGTGTCTGTGTGCAGCTTTCCTCTTATAGGGACCCCAGTCCGAATAAGCACCTCATTAAATTAGAGCCTGTCCTAATCACGTCTGACTTCATCTTGATTATCTCTGCGAAGATCTTATTTCCAAATAAGATCCCACTCGTAGGTATTAGCGTTAAGACCTGAACATATCTTTTGCAGGACACAATGCAACCCACTACAGTACCTTTTGCTCTTTCTTACGTAGTAGGTCTTCTGTCTCCTCACTTAAATAAAAGCGTCACTTTTCCTGGCTTTTGCCATGTTGTTGTCTACCTTTACCCTGTTTTCTAACAGTCTCCAATGGGTCAAGGAATCTGACAGCATGATTTATTTGGTCACAGTCTGATGTATGTTTCTTCTTACTGCCTCAGTCATAAGACTCCAAGTAGTCATTGTGAGGCTTGGCTGCTTGGCTAGAATTAAAAGCTTAAAAGAAATCTCAGCATCTTTCTTTTCTTTTTCTCTTTTCTTTTTTTTTTTTTTTAAGGCAGAGTTTCACTCTGTCGCACAGGCTGGAGTACAGTGGGACGATCTGCAACCTCTGCCTCCTGGGTTCAAGTGATTCTCCTGCCTCAGCCTCCCAAGTATCTGGGACTACAGGTGTGCACCACCACGCCTGGCTAATTTTTGTATTTTTAGTAGAGATGGGGTTTCACCATGTTGGCCAGGCTGGTATCAAACTCCTAGGCTCAAGTGATCCACCCACCTCGGTCTCCCAAAGTGCTGGGATTATAGGCATGAGCCACCGCACCCAGCCAAAATCCTCAATATCTTTCTGATAGATTATGTTCCTTTGTCACTGTAAGCTGTGGGACTTAGTGATTTTTGCAGATGTGTATACATTGTGATAAATACAGCATCATGTAGAATGACTCTTATTTTTTCCAACAGAATAATGCAATTAAAACATACAAGTACAACGTACTTACCTTTATACCAATGAATCTGTTTGAGCAATTTAAGAGAGCAGCCAATTTATATTTCCTGGTTCTTCTTATCTTACAGGTAATGCCTTTTGCTATCTTAAATCTGTTTGAATTATAGTGACTCAATAACATTTAAGCTGTAGACACATATAATGCGAATAATCTTGAAAGTGTTTTATATTAGCATCAGGGTTCTGTATATAAAGGAACAGTGCCTCATACACAGAACCAGCTCAATCAGTGCCATATGAACAGGGAAAGGGAGCAAATGGAAATATTATTCTAATTCTGTATTATTAAAAATGTCATGTTATACTGATATTGGTGTTAAAACTGGTATCCCTGAAGTGAATAAAACTAAAATCTAGCCAGGCACAGTGGCCTACGCCTGTAATCCCCGCACTTTGGGAGGCCGAGGCGAGCAGATCACCTCAGGTGAGGAGTTTGAGGCCAGCCTGGCCAACATGGTGAAACCCCATGTCTACAAAAATACAAAAATTAGCAGGGCATGATGGCAGATGCCTGTAATCCCAGCTACTTGGAAGGCTGAGGTGGGAGAATCACTTGAAGCTGGGAGGCGGTGGTTGCAGTGAGCCGAGATCATGCCATTGCATTCCAACCTGGGCCACAGAGCGAGACTCTGTCTCAAAAAAAAAAAGAAAAAAAAAAAAAGCTGGGCGTGGTGGCTCACCCCTGCAATCTCAACACTTTGGGAGGCTGAAGAGGGTGGATCACCTGAAGTCAGTAGCTCGAGACCAGCCTGGCTAACATGGTGAAACCCCGTTTCTACTAAAAATACAAAAAATTAGCCAGGCATGATGGTGCGCGCCTGTAATCCCAGCTACTCAGGAGGCTGAGGCAAGAGAAGCGCTTGAACCCAGGAGGCAGAGGTTGCAGTGAGCCGAGATCCCACCATCGCACTCCAGCTTGGACAGCAAGAGCTAAACTCCATCTCAAAAAAAAATAAAATCAAATCCTTACTTTGTAAAATTATTTGCACCTTAACGTTAAACCTATTTTTGTGCTTGTCTTTTATTATTGTATTTACATGCTGAATTTCCCCCAAAAAAGATTGTTGATTTTTTATTAAAATTTTGGTCATAAATTTCAGTAAGTTATTTTTGTGAACTGTTTTTACATTTTAAAAGGCCTACTTAAATTTTTTTTTTTTTCCTAATTGTGACAAAGGATCCAGTTATCCGGAGAGCATGAGTTTAACTGTAATCGAGGGAACTCCACACACACTAGTTAGCGCCAGAATCAACCTTTAGTGTCTGCTGTGCAGATTACAAAGCTCAAGCCCAGAATATACACCTGGTTTCACCAGATTCTCTTTTTTTTTTTTTTTTTTTGCTCTTGTTGCCCAGGCTGGAGTGCGGTGGCGCCATCTTGGCTCACTGCAACCTCCTCCTCCTTCTCCTGGGTTCAAGCGATTCTCCTGCCTCAGCCCCCCGAGTAGCTGGGATCATAGTTGCCCGCCGCCATGTCCAGCTAATTTTTGTATTTTTAGTAGAGACAGGGTTTCACTATGTTAACCAGGCTAGTCTCAGACTCCTGACTTCAGTTAATCCACCCGCCTCAGCTTCCCCAAGTGCTGGGATTACAGGCATGAGCCACTGTGCCTGGTACTTTACCAGATTCTTTACAGCAAGCGTTGGATTTGGAAAACTTACACCTGCTGGGATTGACCCTCTAAGGTTTTATGAAAATGGGGTAGAATGTGAGTCTAGGTGGGGATGGAGGATGCGTGGAGAGGAGGGAAAAAGAAGAGGCGATACTAAGGAGAAATGGATACGCAATGATTTAGGAAACTGAAAGACCTGCAAGTCAGATAGTAAAGGATGGCCCTGTTATCAAAGGAGATGCTTAGACAACTGTGTGTAGAGGTTAGCACTGCAAACTCTAAGGTGCAGCTCTATAGGAAGTAGGCCATTTTTCCTTACTTCCTTCTAGCAGGGGAGAGGAGTTTCACATATTCACCATGATATGGGAAGAAGGATCTTTCTGTCTTCCAACTGTACCCCAGTTATCTTCTCTTTTTTTTTGAAATGGACTTTCGCTTTTGTTGTCAAGCCTGGAGTGCAATGGGGTGATCTCAGCTCACCACAACCACCGCCTCCCAGGTTCAAGCCATTCTTCTGTCTCAGCTTCCTGAGTAGCTGGGATTACCGGCATGTGCCACCACACCTGGCTAATTTTGTATTTTTAGTAGAGACGGGGTTTCTCTATGTTGGTCAGGCTGGTCTCAAACTTCCAAGCTCAGGTGATCTGCCCACCTCGGCCTCCCAAAATGTTGGAATTACAGGCGTGAACCACCACATCTGGCCCAGTTATCTTCTCTTAAGGTCAGCAATCCAAATTAGGGTAACAGTAATAGCCGTAGGTAGCTTCTTAACTTGTGTTGTCACTACACTTAATTCTTCTAGTCTAGAAGGTCAGGCCTGGCGTGACCTCCATTTTGCAGAGAAGAGCTGAGGCCTAGTAAGCTAAAGTAACTTGCTCAAAGTCCCATAAGCCATAAATGGTAGAGCTGACTAAGCCTCGAATCTAGGAGTTGACTTCAAAGCCTGTCATTTTAACCACTACATTATATAGCCCACTGATCAGGAGGACGGTTATGAAATAACTTTATTAAACTTGTGTCCCAATCTTTATTCAAACTTAGAGGCTATCTTGATGGAGATAGGGCTTCTTGCAAGGCCATCTCACTTTCTTGGATAGGCCAATAGTGATGATCATGAAGGAAGCACTTTCTTCTAATGCCCTCAGAGATACTCTCCCTAATCCCTCACTTTCAGAGGCAGCTGGTACCTCCTGCCATCTTTGCCTCTAACATGGGATCCTCAGAAACCACTGGCTGAGAAACCTGCAGTGCAGAACCTACTATGCATGCATTCCTTAAAAGTTAAGATGGCTTTGGCCAGGCACGGTGGCTCACACCTGTAATGCCAGCACTTTGGGAGGCTGAGGCAGGAAGATTGCCTGAGGTCAGGAGCTCGAGACCAACCTGGCCAACATGGTGAAAACCCATCTCTACTAAAAATACAAAAAAATTAGCCAGGTGTGGTGGCACACACCTGTAATCCCAGCTGCTCAGGAGGCTGAGGCAGGAGAATCACTTGAACCTGGGAGGTGGAGGTTTCAGTGAGCCAAAATTGTGCCACTACACTCCAGCCTGGGTGACAGAGGGAGACTCCATCTCAAAAAAAAAATGTTAAGATGAGACTTCTCCTTTGCCACTCCTACCCCCTCACCCCCAGTTAAATATGATTTTCACAAAAAATTTAGAGCAACTCTCTTTTAGGTATCATGATACAAAACTTCCTTGGTGTCCAGTTAAGGTTGCAATGAGATAATTTCAGGAGCCACTGCCCTCTAGGCTCTGTTCCAGGTGTCCAGAAGCTAGAGAGAACCACTAGAAGGAGGTTGTCCAGATGCTTAAAGAGCTTTTCCTACACACTCTGCAGGATGTAGACTCATGTGATGACGGAGATGAGACTTGGAATTAGCAAGCTTAGAATTAGCAGTAAGTTACCTGTAAGCTTGATATGCCTTCATGGACACACACATAAGCCCTTTTATTCTTTTAGGCAATTCCTCAAATCTCTACCCTGGCTTGGTACACCACACTAGTGCCCCTGCTTCTGGTGCTGGGCGTCACCGCAATCAAAGACCTGGTGGACGATGTGGTGAGGATTTCTCATACAACCTTCTACTCATTGCTTTGAATTGACTTTAAGTTCTCATGCCTCCCTTCTGTATTGAGATGTTTAAAACAGCATTTCCCCATCTTCCTTCTCAAGGCTCGCCATAAAATGGATAAGGAAATCAACAATAGGACGTGTGAAGTCATTAAGGATGGCAGGTACTGTGTCTTCTTTAATTAGTAACTGAGTTTCAAGGATGTAATGCACAATTCTGCCTAGAAACATATTCAGAGATAATTATTACAATGTAGAAGGCTATTAGTACATTAACTTTTTTTTTCGAGAGAGAGAGTCTAGCTCTGTCACCCAGGCTGGAGTGCAGCAGCGCGATCTTGGTTCACTGCAAACTCCACCTTCCGGGTTCAAGCAATTTTCCTGCCTCAGCCTCCTGAGTAGATGGAATTACAGGCGTGCACTACCACACTCAGCTAATTTTTGTACTTTTAGTAGAGACGGGGTTTCACCACGTTGGCCAGGCTGGTCTCAAACTCCTGACCTCAAGTTATCTGCCCTCCTCGATCTCCCAAAGTGTTGGGATTACAGGCATGAACCACCACACCTGGCCTTAAATTATCTTTTTAATGAGTATGTACCCCTGTTGTAATATATCTAATACTGATAGTGATAAAAATAGATAAAAAGATGACTACTTTGGGTACTAAATTCCATAGGAAATATTCATTAAAATTTTTAACATATCAACACTTTTAAAAGTTTTAAACTATGATATTGTTTTAAAGATTTTCCCATATACAAACAATATACCCAGTGGACATAATGAACCTACTATAATAATAAAATTAATTTACTTGGAGGCAGACATCTAATCACTATATGTTTATCTGCCATTCATTTATGGCCAAAAATGACCTGGAGATTTAAAATACATTTTTAATATATGTTTATGCCCCAGTTCCCCTAATGTCACAAGAATTTAGTACACAATTCTTAACTCCAGGATTTAAAAAAAAAATTTGGCTTATCTTCCAATAAATGAAATTGTAGATGTTTTACATTTCAATATTTCTGAAATTTTAAAATAGAAATTTGCATGTAAGTCTGAAATGACAAATGGATAGGCCTGCACCTTCTTGGCAGGGCTATTAGAAGGCAATTTTGAATACTGAAATATTGGAGGCAATTCTGTTAGAATTGTGACCCCACTGCAAGGGCTGCTCAAGCCATGGCCCTGCCAGACACGCACCCTAGACTTCCAATTCAAGGCAACCCAGAGCTCCTCTTTACCAGTGTCGTAGCTATGGTACAGGCTAAACATATGGGCTGGCCAGGCACGGTGGCTCACACCTGTAATCTCAGGACTTTGGGAGGCCAAGGCAGGAGGATCACTTGAGGCCAGGACTTCGAGGCCAGCCTGGCCAACTTAGTGAGACTCCTGTCTTAACAACAACAGCCTCTTCTGCTAGGCTCATTGGGACACTTATTCTGTTTTACTGAATGAAGTGTTTCCTAATCCTAGAATTGTAAACGAAGCCAATTAAGATCTTTAAATTGTTGTGATTTTGTCTTTTGACACTTGAAAGGTAACTTTGGAACACAATTTCTTTATTTGCAAGGGAAAAAAAGCCACCTAAACATATTTATAGCTTGGTATAGTCTATATTTGAATTATACAGGGTGGAAGTATGGCTGTAAGTCAGGTTATTTTCCTCAGTGTTGACACACAAAAAGTCTTGGATTAGGTCTTAGTTACTATTTTTAGCACTTGAATTTGCAGTTCTGCCTGGAGGCTCTTGCTCAAAAAACAACTCATTACTGATCGCTGAGTTGGTGCTTTCGTTACAGTTGACTACATTAAATTAACAAACACTTATGGAGCACTTTCTGCATGTTGGAGGCAGGACAGTATCCTTGAGAAACTTACAGTTCAAGACAGAAGATGAGACACCTACACACATCATTCTAATAAAATCCATATCAGAATAAAAAACGATAAAAACAAAATGCTCTGACAGTTCAGGGAAGGCAAAAGTCACTTTAGCAAGGGAATGTGGGGAAAGATGTCAAGACTGAGCAAAGCCCTGAAGATGATGTGCTAGGGAGGCTGAAGGAGTTGTGTAAACACAAGTTGTGCTGACAATACAAAGCTCCATTAGACAACTGACCATAATCCAATTTGTGTATAGCCTCGGGGCCTTAAAGGGCATGCAGTGTCTTTGCCAGTTAAGCCTTTACAATTAAGAAGTTAACAGGCCAGGTGAGGTGGCTCATGCCTCTAATCCCAGCACTTTGGGAGGCCCAGCTGTGTTGATCACCTGAGGTCAGGAGTTCGAGACCAGCCTGGCCAACATGGTAAAAACCCATCTCTGCTAAAAATACAAAAATTAGTCGGGCGTGGTGGCACATGCCTGTAGTCGCAGCTACTCGGGAGCCTGAGGCAGGAGAATCTCTTGAACCCCAGAAGGCGAAGTTGCAGTGAGCTGAGATCGTGCCACTGCACTCCAGCCTGGGCAACAGAGCGAGACTCTGTCTCAATAAAAAAAAAAATAATAATTAATAAATAAATAATAAAGATAATTTAAACAGTAGAGAGTAGGCAAACTCTGAAGCCCCCACGAAGACTCTGGCAGGCCCACGTGGGTGCCATAACGTAGGTGCTCCTGTCCTGGGACCAGCACGGACCAAGTGATGGGTCACTGAGAAGGAACACAGCAGGGAGGCGAGTTGGACATAAGCAAAAACAAAAGGCGGTGGCAAGTATTTCCCTGCCACACACATAAGTGGCCCCCATAAACTCTTCCTTACATGACGTAGAGGGAAAGAGCATATCAAAGTCATCATCATTGCTTCCTTCAGAGGTCAGTACGATTTTCATGCCCACTTAACATGTTTACGTCATTAAAAAAGCAAAATGTTATCATTTTCTCTGTGACTTACACATTTTCCAGAATCTGTAACATCCAGAAAGAATAGTAATTCCCTTGCCTGTAACTTAAAATTTCAATAAATCCTCATTATTTTTAATCCTTAGGTTCAAAGTTGCCAAATGGAAAGACATTCAAGTTGGAGACGTCATTCGTCTGAAAAAAAATGATTTTGTTCCAGTAAGTGACCAACTTCTGCTTCTCTCGTTCCTTGTTCTCCCCCAGCCCCTGCGCTCGGCTTCTCCCTCAGGGTCTCGGTGTTATCGGGGTGTGTTTTCTTTTGGACAGGCTGACATTCTCCTGCTGTCTAGCTCTGAGCCTAACAGCCTCTGCTATGTGGAAACAGCAGAACTGGATGGGTAAGTGTGTCTCAATGGGCCTCATTTAAAGCTGGCCTTTGAAGGCACATTCATTCCATTGAAATCGGAGCATTCTGGACCAGAGGGATTGGTATCTGGCGTTGCCTCTGCCACCTGCTGCCTGTCCCTACCGATCTCACCTTTGCCCCTCTGTGAAGCAGAGCTCTACCCACCTGCCTGTCACCACCTCTCAGGGAAGGTAAAAGGATCAGACAGGTGCATATCTGTCTGAGCCCTTTATCAACTGCTGAGCAGTGTCCAGACAGATATGAATAATACTGAGGTTATTATCTGTGTCAGAGAAAGGAACAGATTTTTAAAGTCTTTACCAATAGGCAATTGATTTATTTATTTTTGAGACAGAGTCTCACTCTGTTGCGCAGGTTGGAGTGTAGTGGAGCTATCTCAGCTCACTGCAAGCTCCACACCCGCTGGGTTCAAACAATTCTCCTGCCTCAGCCTCTTGAGTAACTGAGATTACAGGCGCCAGCCCCCACACCCAGCTAATTTTTGTATTTTTAGTAGAGATGGGGTTTCACCATGTTAGCCAGGCTGGTCTCGAACCCCTGATCTCAAGTGATCTGCCTGTCTCGGCCTGCCAAAGTGCTGGGATTACAGGGGTGAGCCACTGCACCTGGCCTCAATAGGCAATTCTGAATTCTTCTTGTGTTGGTTTTGGTTACTATGCTATCATTTAAAAGAGAATAAAGTTCTGTTTTTGACCAGTTTTCTGACCAGTTTTCAAGGCATTTATTGAGTGCTCACGAGGTTGCAGGCACTTTACATGTTAGCTCATTGAATCCTCTAAATGACCATGTGAGATGAATATTACTGGTCTGTATTACCCATAAGGAATCGGAGGCCCAGGGAGGTGCAGCAGCCTGCCCAAGGTCACACAGTGAGTGGTAGAGTCGGGACATTGCTCCCTCTGCTCCTCGTGCCTCATGCTCCAGATATGCATACACTGCTTTACAGAGAGCCGAAATCATGAGACTGAAAACTAGGGCTGGCTGGGCGCGGTGGCTCACACCTGTTATCCCAGCACTTTGGGAGGCCAAGGCGGGCAGATCATGAGGTCAGGAGATCGAGACCATCCTGGCTAACACACTGAAACCCCGTCTCTACTAAAAATACAAAAAATTAGCCAGGCATGGTGGCGGGCGCCTGTACTCCCAGCTACTCTGGAGGCTGAGGCAGGAGAATGGCATGAACCCGGGAGGTGGAGCTTGCAGTGAGCCGAGATTGCGCCACTGCACTCCAGCCTGGGCAACAGAGAGAGACTCCGTCTCAATTAAAAAAACAAAAAACAAAAAACTAGGGCTGTCTTTGCTTCATAGATCAGTCAATTGACTGTTGGAAATCTATCACACTTTTTTTTTTTTTTGAGAAAAACTTAAAACCAATTAACCACTTCTTAATTGTAAAGGCTAATTGGTTAAAAAACAATTAACCACTTCTTAATTGTAAAGACTTAACTGACAAAGACACTGCGTTCCCTTTAAGGCCTTGAGGCTATACCCAAATTGGAGTATGGGCAGTTGCCTGATGGAGCTTTGTGTTGTCAGGTTGGTCTCAAACTCCTGACCTCAAGTGATCTGCCTGCCTCTGCCTCCCAAAGTGCTGGGATTATAGGCGTGAGCCACCGCGCCCAACTGACTGTTTATTCCAAACTATAAAACTGCTATTATTTCCATGAGAGATTCTAAAGCTTTACAAAGACATAAGATCCTAACATGCCCTGTCAGAACAGAATGGTGAGGTTGAGAATGAACTTATCTAGTCCATGGAAATTCCTAAGTGTTCCTGAATCCTATATAAAGCCATCAGTCATGAGAAGGCAGCCTTACCCTGTCCCCAGCCTGCCCTTGTGCTCACCCACAACCTTACCTTGCACTGTGGTGGGGCAATTGGGAGTAAAGCTACCACCTCCTTTTCCAAATGAAATTGTCTTTCAAAAACATGTGATCCAGTTATTCACTCTGGAAAAGAATTTGACAGAGGCGAAACAGAATTTCTGTACCAAATACGTGTTATAGAATCATCTTAATATGATTAAATATTAGACGCTACCTTTTCAAATAGCCCTTTGGTAGTCCCAGCTGGTGGTAAAGGTCAAGTCAGTGGGAAGGATGTTTGTGGGCACCTCTGTGCTAACCTTCACAACAACAAACAGTGAAGGGAACCAACATTTCCCAAGGTCGGAAATGTTCTCTAGTTCAGGGCATAACCTTATCCAAGCCTGAAATTCCAAGGTGAACAGAGTTTGAAAATAGAAACAGCTAATTATTTAGCCTTCATATCCAGATACAGCTAATATAACTTTGGATGATTAACATCCATTTCAAACTCGAAAATTTGTTCATTTAATTCATTCATTTTCCCCCCTTCCTTTAGAGAAACCAATTTAAAATTTAAGATGTCACTTGAAATCACAGACCAGTACCTCCAAAGAGAAGATACATTGGCAACATTTGATGGTTTGTACAAAACATGTCTTACTTTGCTTTAAATTTTAGTTGCTTGGTTCAATTCCTATTGATTAACACCAGAAAGAGTTTTGTATGTGATTAATTATGTGAATCTTATATTTTTAAAAGGTTTTGTTGAATGTGAAGAACCCAATAACCGACTAGATAAGTTTACGGGAACACTATTTTGGAGAAACACAAGTTTTCCTTTGGATGCTGATAAAATTTTGTTACGTGGCTGTGTAATTAGGAACACCGATTTCTGCCATGGCTTAGTCATTTTTGCAGGTACTTTCAGAGTTTCTTGGGAAATTAATCAGCTATGATCTTTAAAGACTTAAAGGAGGGGATTGCTTTTCTGTCCTTTCTCCATCAAAACCAAAAGAAGAGTAGAAGAGTAATAGCATTGTGAGCTATTCCTTTTTTCTTTTTTTGGAGACAGCGTCTGACTCTGTAGCCCAGGCTGGAGTGCAGTAGTGCGATCTCAGCTCACTGCAACCTCTGCCTCCTGGGTTCAAGTGATTCTCCTGTCTCAGCCTCCAGAGTAGCTGGGATTATAGGCATGTGCTACCATGCCCGGCTAATTTTTGTATTTTTAGTAGAGACAGGGTTTGCCATGTTGGCCAGGCTGGCCTCGAACCCCTGACCTCAGGTGATCCACCCACCTCAGCCTCCAAAAGTGCTGGGATTACAGGCATAAACCACCATGCCTGGCCAAGACAAGTAATTTTATTGGTGAGCCAGTGAATTGATTTTTTTCCCAATTGATAATTACATTGACTTTTCCATTTTCAGGTGCTGACACTAAAATAATGAAGAATAGTGGGAAAACCAGATTTAAAAGAACTAAAATTGATTACTTGATGAACTACATGGTTTACACGGTATTTATTTTTCATCTCAGTAGATCTCTCATCTAGATTGCTGTCTTTTGCGCTAATATTATTGTATGTTTTTCTAATACAAAGAAATCTTACCTCTTTAGGTGGAACAGAAAAATTCTTGGGCACTAATGCAGGAAGAAGGGATTTTTCTCAAAAACACCTCACTTTTTCTCAGAAATGCCACACTTTTAACAGGAGAATCCCCTTGGGAAGGGAAATTTCAGTTGTAGGGTGCCCTGAGTGCTTTGATGACGGGAACTGGAAAACCCGGAAGCCCTAGATAAATTAGTGAAGCTGGACTCCTGAAATCAATGTAGGGTTGATTTCATTGCTGTTACTTTCCCATAGAGGCAGTTCTCTTAGAAGCAAACCTCCCCTGGCCTCCCCACCCTGCAACATCTACTGTATAGCTCCAAATACAAGGCAAGGCTTAAAATAAAGTATGTCGAGGACCCCCAAGATCACTCCCAGGTTTGATGATTCACTGGAAGGACTCATAGGCCCCAGCACATCATTGTATTCACAGCTGTGACTCATTACAACGAAAGGACACAGAGCAAGATCAGCCAGAGGCTCATGGAGCAAAGTGCAAAGGAAACCAGGCGCAAGCTTCCAAAAGTCTGCCATCCCGCCCGCACTCCCCACAAAGCCACACACACAATAGGCACTTAATTCTCCCAGCAGCAATTAATGACACCACAAGTGAAATGTTGTCTATACCAAGGAAGCCCATGAGAGACTCGGTGTCAAGGGTTTTTAACAAAAAAACTCTAGACTCCCCAAAAGAATACAGATGATCAGCATAAACCATGCTGTTTGCACAGTTAGGCATCATGAGTTATTCTTTTTTTTTTTTTTTTTTTTTGAGATGGAGTTTCGCCCATCTGCCCAGGCTAGAGTGCAATGGCATGATCTTGGTTCACTACACTCTCCGCCTCCCAGGTTCAGGTGACTGTCCTGCCTCAGCCTCCCAAGTAGCTGGGATTACAGGCAGCCGCCACCCCACCTGGCTAATTTTTGTATTTTTGGTAGAGATGGGGTTTCACCATGTTGGCCAGGCTGGTCTCGAACCCCTGACCTCAAGTGATCTGCCCGCCTCGGCCTCCCAAAGTGCTGGGATTACGAGCATGAGCCACTGCACCCAGCCCATGAGCTATTCTCATCAGAGAATAAAAAATAACCGGGAAATCCTCCAAACATCTAAGTTACCAGATACCAGCCCAGGGCAAACCCTGCAAGCAGGCTTCGGAGGAAGCAGTCTCAGACCTGCTATGTTCGCTCTTTTCTGCCCATGTGGTGACCCCAAATATTAAGCACTCCTTCTATTTCCCAACGAAAATTTTTTCAAGTATTTAGTTCAATTTGAATGCATACTTCTAATACTTACTCTTTGATTGCATATACATATTTAAAATCAGATAAAAATAATAATTTAAGAAACATTTTCCCCTGCTTTCTCGTTTCATGAGAATTGTATTTGAACTTTTCACAGTCATCGCTGGTGTCATGGTTGTGGTTATGAGTGCGGCACTCTCAAAAGCCTGTTGGCACTCTGCTATTTCCATGACAAAGTTGTGAGATATAGCACTTTTGGAGTCTGTGTTCAGAAATTTAAATTTGTCTCTGGAATTTTATTCCCACCTGCGAATCTCTGAGTACCACTAGCAGAGTTGACTTTTTATTCCTTCCATAAATATATGCTCATAACTTCTACAACATAATACTTATCATATTGCTTCTTAAGTGATCTTATTTTACAATGTTATGCAATACTTGTGACATTACACATTAAGGAATAATGGCCCAAATATAGGTGAAATTTTGTTACCCTGAAAAAAAAATTCTGGTTGGGCGAGGGCCACCTGTAATCCCAGCAATTTGGGAGACTGAGGCAGGCAAATCACTTGAGGCCAGGAGTTCCAGACCATGGCCAACATGGTGAAACTCATCTCTACTAAAAAGACAGGCATGGTGGCGCGTGCCTGTAATCCCAGCTACTCAGGAGGCTGAGGCATGAGAATTGTTTGAACCAGGAAGGTGGAGGTTGTAGTGAGCCACAGTGGCACCACTGCACTCCAGCCTGGGCGATACAGTGAGACTGTCTTAAAAAAAATCTGTTGAATATTTTCTGTAAGCATTCCAGTTTTCCAATTCAGCCTTGTTGGAAGTTGTTTCACGCTAAGTAAGATATCTTCCCCAAACAGTATGTTATTGTTCAAAGTAAACATAATTGAGAGAATGCCCTATAATATAAGACTCTTCAAGCATTTGAATGTAAGACACCACCTTCTCTTTTGAAAGATAATTTTGGGAACAAAACCTCACCTTCTGTGGGAGATGTAGGATACACGAGTCAATCGTAGCAATCAAATAGACTTTCAAAGCGTTATGTTGGCGCTGTTTTTATTTGACATACATTATTTTTACAGACTACTAAATTCTCAAACATATGAAGTATTGAGTAAGGTTAATTAGCATCTAGGAAATGCAAGAGGTTGGAAATCCATCTTCAGAATGCATTTAAATGTTTTCTGTCTTCTAGATCTTTGTTGTTCTTAGTCTGCTTTCTGCTGGTCTTGCCATCGGCCATGCTTATTGGGAAGCACAGGTGGGCAATTACTCTTGGTACCTCTATGATGGAAAAGACGATACACCCTCCTACCGTGGATTCCTCAATTTCTGGGGCTATATCATTGTTCTCAATACCATGGTACCCATCTCTCTCTATGTCAGGTAAGGCTGTCCTCTCTGGCATTTTGCTTTAATGGAAGAATGTTGTACCTTCTCCCAACGTAGTGCCTTCATTTCTAACAATCATTGTTTCAAAGGTCACAAAGAACAGGTAAGAAAATCTCGTTCATTTCAGAACTGAGGGTAAGAGAGGAAAAGGAAATTAACATTTGAGTATCCACTCTGTGCCAGGCACCTTTTATCTCATCCTGTTTGCAGATAAGGCTAGGGAATTTCAAAGATCGATTGATACTCCTGTAGTCATTGTCTTATTAGTGAGGTTCCCTTCACACTGGGTTCCAAAGCTCAGACTTCAGAAAGAACCTGGGAGGAGGGGAAGATTTAGCATGTGATAGAAAAACTTAGTTTTCCCTTTCGAAAGTGGTCCTCACCTCTTATCTGAGCCTTCCTTATTATCATCTGCCACACCTAAGGTGGAGAACTTGTGCTTTCTGGCCACTACCTCCTGGTAGGAAAGAAATTTCCTGTCCTTCATCAACCTCTCAAAATGTTCTCTTTTCATCTCAAATCTCAATCACAACAACAAAGTCAGGGGCATATATCTCTGATAAGTGGTAAGCAGCTGATTTGATGATATTTCTTAATTTTTCACTTTTACTTTTTTTTTTTTGAGATAGAGTTTCACTCTTGTTGCCCAGGCAGGAGTGCAATGGCATGATCTTGGCTCACTGCAACTTCCACCTCCTGGGTTCAAGCGATTCTCCTGCCTCAGCCTCCTGAGTAGCTGGGATCACAGGTGCCCGCCACCACGCCTGGCTACTGTTTTGTATTTTTAGTAGAGATGGGTTTCACCAAGTTGGCCAGGCTGGTCTTGAACGCCTGACCTCAGGTGATCTGCCCACCTCGCCTCCCAAAGTGCTGGGATTACAGGCGTGAGTCACCACACCCGGGATTTTTCTCTTTTTAATAGGAAAGTTCACTGCCCTTGGCCAAACTGACTTTGAGAGCTTTTTGGGAGGGTCAGTGCTTTGGAATAAACCCAGCAGCCAAAGTTCATTCTTAGTTCTGGTAAAGAATAGCCCAGAGACATAGGGATCACATACACACCTATCATTAGAGGCATTTATTTTATTTTAGTGTCATTATATGTGCATTTGCTTTACTTTTAATTTGATTACATGTAGTTACTGTTGTTCTTCTAACATGAAGGAAAGCCCTGGGGCAGCCATCCGTTCCACGGCTACTTTGAGAAAAACTGAGATGAGTGTCACCTTTGTCAAGGGAACTGTTACACAGATAATTTTGCCTAAAACTATCAATGTGTATTCTAAAAGAAACTGTATACGTAATTTTGTATAAAGGTATGTCACGTGACAAATATGATTTCTTTATTTTCTTGGAGATAAAGGTCCTTTGAAAACATGCTAGGCCGGGCGCGGTGGCTCAAGCCTGTAATCCCAGCACTTTGGGAGGCCGAGACGGGCGGATCACGAGGTCAGGAGATCGAGACCATCCTGGCTAACACGGTGAAACCCCGTCTCTACTAAAAATACAAGAAAATTAGCCGGGCGAGGTGGCGGGCGCCTGTAGTCCCAGCTACTCGGGAGGCTGAGGCAGGAGAATGGCGTGAACCCTGGGGGGCGGAGCTTGCAGTGAGCCGAGATCGCGCCACTGCACTCCAGCCTGGGGCACAGAGCAAGACTCCGTCTCAAAAAAAAAAAAAAAAAAAAAGAAAACATGCTGGAGCAAGTTCTTCCAGATAGTATCTCTGCTTTGACTTCAACCCTCATTCAGAATAAACCCACTCCGCAAGGCCCCAAGTGTGATCTGGTGCTCAGCCTTCCACTCTGCCCGTACCTTTTGCACCTCAGCCCACCTCCCTGTGCTTCTGCCACTCTGGCCCCTTGATACTCTTCCTGCCACAGGGCCTTTGTACCCGCTCTTTTCTCTGCCAGGAGCATCCTTATGTAGGTATCTATCTGCTCCCCTTTCACTAAAAAGGCTTCTACTCAGACAACACCTTATTACCGTGGCCTTTCCTGACTCATTCTGTTTCTGACCACTTCTCCTTCATGGAGATCTTCATATCTCCTTACCTTGCTTTGCTTTGATTTTTGTTTGTTTGTTGTTTGTTTGTTTTGTTTTGAGACAGAGTCTTGCTCTGTTTCCCAGGCTGGAATGCAATAGCACGATCTCAGCTCACTGCAACCTCCGCCTGCAGGGTTCAAGTGATTCCGCTACCTCAGCCTCCCTAGTAGGTGGGATTACAAGCACATGCTACCATGCCTGACTAATTTTTGTGTTTTTAGTAGAGTTGGGGTTTCACCATGTTGGTCAGGCTGGTCTCGAACTCCTGACCTCATGATCTGCCCACCTCGACCTCCCAAAGTGTTGGGATTACAGGCATGAGCCACCATACCTGGCCTCTGCTTTGATTTTCCACAGAGAACTTCCGTCTCTGATACAGCCTCTCTTTATTAGTTTATATATTTGTCTGTCTCTACTAGAAAGTAACCTCCTTAAGAGAACGGACTTTGTTTTGTTTACAGACACGTCCCCTGCACCTAGAATGGTATCTGGTACATAGTAGGCACTTAAGAAATATTTATGGAAGGCAAAGAAGTGGGGAGAGCATTATTTTTTCCATCTGTTTAACTTGTTATGGACTTCCTTTGCCCACCTAACAATTGCTGGCTATGTAAACAGCTTCCTTATAACTGAGATAGGTAATGTCCCTTACAGTTTTAAAATTCACATGATCCTTTTATAATATCTCATTTTGGATATTCTATAACCTTATCATAATTTAGGGATCACGATTTGGGGTATTTGCCAAAAGCCTTTTGCCCTATTTGAGAGCGCAGAGGAGTCTGTATCCTAGGGTATCTCACTCCCTCTGCCCTACCACTGAGGGCAAAGGTGAACGTGGCCATTCCAGTGCCCCTGGGTGCTATGGAGAATGGGGGAGAAGAGTCAGTCTTGCTGTGTCCACTGCTCTGTCTGCAGTGTTTCTGTGTCATCCATTCTGCTGGGCTGTGGATTCTGAACATGGGTGCCTTGGCTAAATGTGCCCAGGAGTGAGTGGCAAATCTCACTGAGCAATTTTGAATGGAAATTACTTGTCTAAAATCAGCTTGACCCTGATGCCTGAGAATGGTGCATGTGGTTAGGAGAAACCAGAGGCTGAGTGCATGGGCTTGTCTCCTTGGAGAGGGCTTAGTTTGGGCTGATGTAACAAAAGATCTTCGAAATTTATTGCTCACAGTTCTGGAGGCTGGGAAGTCTCAAATCAAAGCATCGGCAGATTCAGGGTCTGGCAATGGCTCACTTTCTGCTTTATGGGCACAGCCGGTGCCTTCCAGCTACATCCTCACATGGCAGAAGGGGCAAGCAAGCTCCTTTGAGCCCCTTATTAAGGGCACTAATCCCATTCGTAAGGGTGGAGCCCTCATGACCTAATGACCTTCGAAAGGCCTCACCTCAGTAGTGTTGAATTGGAGACTGGGTTTCAACATATGAATTTGGATGGGGATTCTAACATTCAGACCATAGCAGTAAATAAGCAGCTTGCTCTTGTCTGTACAATGAGAATAAAATCTCTACTACTTGCCACTCATATCTGAGCTCCCTACGGAAAATAATCTTCTGTCTTCCTAGCGTGGAAGTGATTCGTCTGGGACAGAGTCACTTCATCAACTGGGACCTGCAAATGTACTATGCTGAGAAGGACACACCTGCAAAAGCTAGAACCACCACACTCAATGAACAGCTCGGGCAGATCCATTATATCTTCTCTGATAAGACGGGGACACTCACACAAAATATCATGACCTTTAAAAAGTGCTGTATCAACGGGCAGATATACGGTGAGTGGAAGCCGTCACTCATTTTCTGGGGGAGTGGGGCTGCCTGCCGTGTGCAGGGCACTACCTGGACCAGAGCCTGTCTCCTGGCATTGCTGGTGCCCTCCCAATGCGGAGTCCTGCTGCTGGGACCATTCTCCAGCTGAGCACCAGAGGAGCACCATGGACAGCACTGGGGACACATGCGTGGGAGAGGACAGCGGCCAGAAGTGGGATCACGGCCGGGGCGGTGGCTCATGCTTGTAATCCCAGCACTTTGGGAGGGTGAAGTGGACAGATCCCACGAGGTCAGGGATTCAAGACCAGCCTTGCCAACGTGGCAAAACCCCATCTCTACTAATAATACAAAAATTAACCAGGTATGGTGGTGGCGCACACCTATAATCCCAGCTACTTGGGAGGCTGAGGCAGGAGAATTGCTTGAACCCGGGAGGTGGAGGTTGCAGTGAGCTGAGATCACACTGCTGCACTCCAGCCTGGCGACAGAGTGAGACTCTGTCTAAAAAAAAAAGAAAAAAATTAGAAGTCTCCTTACTATATGATCCAGCAATTCCACTTCAGGTTATATACTCAAAGGTACTGAAACAGGGGCTCAAAGAGGTATTTGTACACCTGTGTTCATAGCAGCATTATTCACAATAGCCAAAAGATAGAAGCAACCCAAACGTTGATCAGTGGATGAATGGATAAACAAAATGTGGATACACACAATCGAATATTATTCAGTCTAAGAAAGGAAGGAAAATTTGACACATGCTACAACACAGATGAACCTGAACTCATTTATGCCAGAGGTTAAATTTTTTTGAATTTTTGCAATCAGAACTTGGTGATGACCTTGAGCAGTAGGATATAAATAACTCCCACATGCTTAGTGTTCCAATAACGGAACACTAGGCATAAATGAGTTAAGGACATTATGCTAAGTGAAGTAAGCCAGTCACAAAAGGACAAATATTGTATAATTCTACTTATATGAAGTACTTAGTATAATCAAATGTATACAGACAAAGTAGAATGATGGTTACCAGGGGCCAGGGTCAGGGGAATTGGGAGTTACTGTTTAATGGGTACAGAGTTTCAATTTGGCAAGATGAAATAACTGCACGGCATTGTGAATATACTTGATGCCACTGAACCATATGCTTAAAAGTGGTTACAATGGGCTGGGTGCAGTGTCTCATGCCTAGAATAATAAGACTTCGAGGCCTAGAACTCTAGACCAGCTTGGGTAACAAAGCAAAAATTTTTTAAAAATTAGCAGAGTTTGGTGCTGCATGCCTATAGTTCCAGTTACCTGGGAGGCTGAGGCAGGAAGATCCCTTAAGCCTGGGAGTTGAAGGCTACTGTGAGTACATCACTGCACTCCAGCACGGGTGACGGAGCAAGACCCTGTCTCAAAACGGCAACAACAAAAATTGGTTGGCTGGTGTGCAGGGGCTCACGTCTGCAATCCCAGCACCTTGGGAGGCTGAGGCAGGCACATCCCTTGAGACCAGGAGTTTGAGACCAGCCTGGGCAACATGACAAAATCCCATCTCTGGCCAGATACTGTGGCTCACGCCTGTAATCCCAGCACTTTGGGAAGCTGAGGTGGGTGGATCACCAAGTCAGGAGTTCGAGACCAGCCTGGCCAATATGATGAAACTCTCTCTCTACTAAAAATACAAAAATTACCTGGGCGTGGTGGTAGGCACCTGTAGTCCCAGCTACTCAGGAGGCTGAGGCAGGAGAATCACTTGAACCCGGGAGGTGGAGGTTGCAGTGAGCAAGATTGTGCCACTGCACTCCAGTCTGGGTGACAGAGCGAGATTCCGTCTCAAAAACAAACAAACAAACAAACAAAAAAAACATGCCTCTACAAAAAACAATAATAAAATAATAATAATGCAAAAATTAGCCAGGCATGGTGGTATGTGCTTGTAGTTCCAGTTACTTGAGAGGCTGAGGTAGGATCACCTGAGCCCGGGGACAACAAGATTATTGTGAGCTGGGTTTACACCACTGCACTCCAGCCTGGGTGACAGAGTGAAACCCTGACTCAAAAAATCAAACCAAAAATTGGTTAAAATGGTAAATTTTATTATGGGTATTTCACTACAGTTGTTTTGTTTTCTTTGTTGTTTTTGTTTTTAAGACGGTGTCTCACTGTCACCCAGGCTGGAGTGCAGTGGCGCAATCTCAGCTCACTGCAACCCCTCCACCTCCCAGGTTCACATGATTCTCCTCCTTCAGCTCAGCTTCCTGGGTAGCTGGGATTACAAGCGCACACCACCGCCCCTGGCTAATTTTTTTTTTTTTTTTTTTCAGTAGAGATGGGGTTTCACCATGTTGACCAGGCTGGTATCGAACCCCTGACCTCAAGTGAACCACCTGCCTCAGCCTCCCAAAGTGCTGGAGTTACAGGCGTGAGCCACCACACCTGGCCTACAATTTTTTTGTTTTTGTTTTTTCAGTAGAGATGGGGTTTCACCATGTTGACCAGGCTGGTATCGAACCCCTGACCTCAAGTGAACCACCTGCCTAAGCCTCCCAAAGTGCTGGAGTTACAGGCGTGAGCCACCACACCTGGCCTACAATTTTTTTGTTTTTGTTTTTGTTTTTGTTTTTTTGAGACAGAGTCTTGCTTTGTCACCCAGGCCGGAGTGCAGTGGCGCAATCTTGGCTCACTGAAACCTCTGCCTTCCAGGTTCAAGTGATTATCCTGCCTCAGCCTCCTGAGTAGCTGGGACTACAGGTGTGTGCCACCATTTCCAGCTAATTTTTGTGTTTTTAATAGAGATGGAGTTTCACCATGCTAGCCAGGCTGGTCTTGAACTCCTGACCCCAGGTGATCCGCCCATCTTAGCCTCCCAAAGTGCTGGGATTACAGGCGTGAGCCACCACACCCAGCCAATAGTTTTAAAAGTTGATTTCGGTTCTAATTTTCTGAAACATTTAGAAATTTAATTTTCTGTAAATTTACAAATAATATTAAGGTTGATACTAGATTCAAATAGAGTGTTCTCTATTTTAAATACACTTAAAAACACAATTGTTTAAAATGATATAGGGACATGCATATATACTTCCTACTTGTAGGAAACTGTACACCGTGAGTGCTTTTCTCATAAGGAGTATCAGTGAAGATGGTGAGGCACTGAGGGGCTGAGGACGTGGCTCACATGTGTGGATCCTTCTGACTTGAGGGAGGTAAAGCATTTCAAAGGATATGACCCAGGCCCCTAGGAGAAAGTAGTAGGGAGGGACAGGCACCAGTATTTGAATAACTAGACCAGGGATCACCTAATGTTTTCTGTAAAGAGCCAGATAATAAATATGGTAGCCCGTCCAGGCCATATATGGTCTTACCTCCACCACTACATAAGCAAAGCCATGTAAGGAGGGGCCTCTGGACACAGGCGGAGAATCAATTTGTTTTGTCCTGTTTGTTTCTCAGGGGACCATCGGGATGCCTCTCAACACAACCATAACAAAATAGAGGTAAGGCCTTTAAGCTGAAGAATTGTTTGGGATGCTAGGGATGTCAGGGTCCCAGCAGGGCCATGCTTCCTTTGAAGGTCTAGGGAAGACTCTTTTCGTTGCCTCTTCCCTGCTCCTAGTGGTTGTCCACAGTCCTTGGTGTTCCTTGGCTTGGAGACTTGGAAACACAACTCTGTATCTCTGCTTTTGTTGTCACATGGTGTCCCCTTGTGTGTCTGCGTGTCTCTGTGTCCACACTTCCCCTTCTAATAAGGATACCAATCATTGGATTAGGACCCACCCTAATTGAGTGTCACCTCATTTTATCTTGATTACATCTGTAAAGACCCTGTTTCTAAATAAGGTCACATTCATAGGTACCAGAGGTTAGAACTTCAACATATCTTTTGGGGGAACACAGTTTAGTCCACCACAAAGTACCTTTTTGACTGGTCCTGGTGGCTCATGCCTGTAATCCCAGTACTTCGGGAGGCTGAGATGGGCAGATCAATTGAGTCAAGGAGTTTGAAACCAGAGAAACCCCATCTCTACAAAAAAAATACAAAAATTAGCCAGGTATGGTGGTGCACGCCCATAGGCCCATCTACTCAGAAGGATTGCTTGAGCCCAGGAGGCGGAGGTTGCAGAGAACTGAGATCAAGCCACTGCAGTCCAGCCTGGGTGACAGAGTGAGACCCATATATGGTCATATATGTTTCCAAAAAAAAAAAAAGGTATCTTTTTATTGAAGACAGTTGTGAGCCTCTTGACATTTAAGAATGTGCTAAAATCCTAAGGTGGTTCTTGCATAATTGAAACCTTGCCTTTCAAGGAAAGTTCATGTCATGTGTTAAGTGAAAAATATTTTATAAAATTATATTTTGTTTTTCTCCATTTCTTTCAGCAAGTTGATTTTAGCTGGAATACATATGCTGATAGGAAGCTTGCATTTTATGACCACTATCTTATTGAGCAAATCCAGTCGGGGAAAGAGCCGGAAGTACGACAGTTCTTCTTCTTGCTCGCAGTTTGCCACACGGTCATGGTAGATAGGACTGATGGTGAGTGTTTCTCTGGCATCTCAGGCATTAGAGACCAGGTTTTTTGTTTCCAGGTAACTCCTGCTTATGACTCAAATGCATGTCAAGTAGTACAAATCTGTCGCATATTCGAATGCAGTGAATGTTTTTCAGCACTTACCACTGGATGGTTTATGGAAGAGCAAAGTAGGAAACAAGCTTCTTGTCCCTGAAAATTTCCATCTTATTCATAGTTATGGCTCCAGGTGCATTTTTTTCACTTTGCAAATGAAATCTTATTGAAATGATTGATACTTGAATTATGATAGAAGAATCTAACTTTTCTTAGCACATTTATTACTGAGCATTTACCGAGTGTGAAAAGTCAAGCCTTATCTATATCAGAAATGGACTCTGAACTTGACTAACCTTTTCTACCAAATAATTTTAGATATATGCTCTTATTTACTAGATTCTGTTATAGTTTGGGTTTGAAATAATATCAGCCTCAGCCTGGATCTCTTCTGGGTGCCTTTTCCATTTAAAGGAGCATAATTAATGTGAATTTCATGGGAACAAGCAGAATGACTTGTAAGTTCCTTTGCAGAATCCTTCAACACAGTTTGTGCCAGCTTTGTCACAGCAAGTTTGTCCTATATCAAGGAAAGCTAGTCATTTTATCACAAATGGACATAATGATAAGTTATATAGACACATGTGCACTTTATAGAAAGAGCAAAAGGAGTTCCTTTGGTGTTTCTGTAATGAAGCATAGTCTGCCTTCACTTCATTCATTCACTTCATCCACTTCACTACATCTTCCACTTTTTACTTTAGTCAGTGCAGCATACATAAGTCCCTCTCTCTTCTCAACCTTGATGTTTCATATGTAGCAGGTATGAAATTTCTAGAGAAGGAATATGCATAAAAACTTAAATGTGTAGGCCAACGCATGGTGGCTCACACCTGTAATCCCAGCATTTGAAAGGTCGAGGTGAGTGGATTGCTTGAGCTCAGGAGTTCAAGACCAGCCCGAGCAACATGGCAAAACCCCATCTCACCAAAAAATACCAAAAATTAGCCAGGCGTGATGGCACATGTCTGTAGTGCCAGCTGCTCAGGTGGGGATCGCTTGAACCCAGGAGGTCAAGGCTGCAGTGAGCCATGGTCTCACCATTACATTCCAGCCTGGGTGATGGAGTGAGACCCTATCTCAAAAAAACAAAAAGCAAAACAAAACAAAAACCACCTAAATGTACAGAAGCTGTATGTGATACTTTTCAGCAAGTTGCAAAGAAACCCATTTTCCCAAGATGAATCTAATATTGCAATGAAGCAAGGTAACAGAGTTCAGATTAGGTGGATACATGGAAGGGTTTATCAGCAGACAATGTGGGGAAAGATAGAAAGGGACGATACCAGGTCATGAATCATGGAAGCAGAGGTCAAAGTCTATTTGACTCGCCAAGCCAATTTTACTCAGTCTGTAAGCATCAAGTATGACGTTACAAAGTCACCTGGTTCTCTTTGGTTTTGACTCATTAGTACAATTGTTGTACTCTTCTCTGAGTACATGATAGTATTTTAAGGGCTAACTGGTCAACTTAGGCAAATGTAAATTCATCCTGTAGTCCCTATTCTATTTTTCCCCAGTGGGATATTATGGGAAGAGCCCTGGACTACGTGCTAGAGATGAGTCAGCACAGTTTGGGTCCCTGTCTGAGAACCACCTTCCTCGGTGTTGTAGTAAGAAGGTTGGATGTACAAAGTTCCTTCCAGCAGGGCTGGGTGTGGTGGCTCACACCTGTAATCCCAGCGCTTTGGGAGACCGAGGCGGGCAGATCACGAGGTCAGGAGTTGGAGACCAGCATGGCCAACATGGTGAAACCCCGTTTCTACTAAAAATACAAAAAATTAGCCAAGCATGGTGGCATGTGCCTGTAATCCCAGCTACTTAGGAGCCTGAACAGGAGAATTGCTTGAACTTGGCAGGCGGAGGTTGCAGTGAGCCGAGATCATGCCACTACACTCCAGCCTGGGCAACAGTGCAAGACTCGGTCTCAAAAAAAAAAAAAAAAAAAAAAAAAAAAACAAGAACACAAAGTCCCTCCAGCCTAACCTACTGCAACTCTTTGTCCACTGTCAGCTGAGGTCAAGGGTTGTACAGAATAGAGACATGTTACGTTTCTAGTGCAGGAGCTTAGAGAAATTGATTTTGGCTTTTAACCATAAAGTACCAGAAAAGGATTCCTTGAAAGGACCTTGAGGACTACGCCTCCAATTTTTTTTTTTTTTTTTTTTTTTTTTAAGACAGTCTTGCTCTTGTCACCCAGGCTGGAGTTTAACGGCATGATCTCAGCTCACTGCAACCTCCACCTCCTGGGTTCAAGCATAATTCTCATGCCTCAGCCTCCTGAGTAGCTGGGACTAGAGGTGCCCACAACCACACCCAGCTGATTTTTGTATTTTTAGTAGAGATGGGGTTTCCCACGTTGGCCAGGCTGGTCTCCAACTCCTGACTTCAGGTGATCTGCCCACCTTGACCTCCCAAAGTGCTGGGATTACAGGCGTGAGCCACCATGCCCAGCCACATGCATTAGTTTTCTGCTACTCTGTAGTGAATTAGTGTAACTCAGCTACTGAAAACACCCGTTCATTAGCTTACGGTTCTGTAGGGCAGAATTCTTAGCATGGCATGACTGGGTTCTCCGCTCAGCATCTGACTAAAATCAAGTTTGGGCCATGTTCTCATCTGGAGCTCAGTGTCTTCTTCCACATTCAGTGTGGTTGCAGCAGGATTCAGTTCGCTATGCTTGTAGAATTGAAGTCCCCATTTCTTTATTGGCTGTCAGCTGGGTTGCTTTCCCCTCCTAGAGACTGCCCTCATTCCCTGCCAGCTGGTCCACTCTATCTGCAAAGCCAGCAGTGGAGAATCTCCCTTAAATTGAGCCTTTTTCATACTGCTCCAAGTCTCCCCGCAAGAAGAGGTCTGTGCTAAGCTCATCTAATTAAGTCAGGAACACCTGGATAATCTATTTTTAAGTTCAGCTGATTAGGATCGTACATCTGCAAATTCCCTTCACAGCAGTACCTAGATTAGTGCTTGATTGTCTGACTAGGAGAAAGTGAATGTACATCCCTAGGATGGGAACCTTAAGGCCATTGCAGACTCCCGCGTGCACAGAGGTCATGTGAGAGCAGAGTGTGGAAGACTTGGAAGCCTTCACTTCACCTGGAGGTTTTGAATCGATGATCAGAGAGCTTGTCTCAGGAGTTTTGCGAATCACATTGGGTGCGAGATGAAGCAGGCAGGCACTGGAGATTGGCACAGAGGCTGAAGGTTTGTATTAGCGTGGGGTCTTTGGGAAGGATGACAAAGCCATGAATCTGGGAGACACTTGGCAAATCATTTAAAGGGGGTGAGAGGATTGAGGACAAAAAGACATCTGAGAGGTAGGGTTTTTTTGTTTGTTTGTTTTTGTTTTTGTTTTGAGACCAAATTTCACTTTTTTTTTTTTTTTTGAGATGGAGTCTCGCTCTGTCGCCCAGGCTGGAGTGCAGTGGCCGGATCTCGGCTCACTGCAAG